AAATTATTATAAATTAAGCTAAAATTAGAAATACAGATTACAAGTCAAAAATACTATCTAAGCTTTCCCGAAGATACAAATAAACTTGTGAATTTATAATAGACTCTAAGCTATAATAATTTTATAAACAATCAAACTAAATAACAATTATTTTAATATTACTTATACAAAAATATAATCTTAGACGCTTAGAATATAAAAAAAATATTTGCTGCAGTAATTTTATGTTTTAATAAAATCTTCCAAAATATGTTTATATTTTATATATATTCACTTTAATATCGTCCAGTAATTAAAAGTAACGCATTATATTTATGAAGAATTATGTCTCCGAAGATTTAATATTAAAAATGTCTTAATTTTTATGGCGTATTTCTGCTTTCGATTATTATGTCCAAGTAAATTATTGTAAAATTCGAATATATAATTTTATATTCTTTTATAATTAGATATATATTCATTCATTCAATTTCTATTATTCATTAAACATGTATTTACATTAAATCAATACAAACTACACTTTGCGCCTAAAAGTATGCTCAACATTTTTCACACAATACTCTTGCAAAGTAACGAGTAAAATACACCCCTGTTGACAACTGCAACCAACTTCAGGGCGCGGTTTGACACTAGCAACGAGTAAATTGAAGGAAATTACTGTTCAGTGGTTCTCTTTTACTTCCTTTTCTGTCAAAATAATTGACTAAGGTTGGTGTATTTTTTGATTGTCCCACAAATAAATACAAAAATATTCATGAAATTCCCAAAAGAATTGTGAAAATGTGTATGAAAATTGAAAACTAAACGAACAATCTATGAATATGTGAATAAATGAAGAAAATGCTTTGTGAAATTGCAGAGATGCTGTAAGATTTGAAAGAGTGTTGTGTCAAACAAGATCGAAAGAAACAAAAATGAAATGAACTAGAAAAAAGCCGTATAGAGGCTGTAGAGAAAAATGTGAAAATGAAGGGACATTGTGTTGTGAATTGTTTAGAAGTGAAATGAAAAGAACTTCTTTAAATTGTTAATATGAGTTATTGTGTGAATTAAAAACATTAATGGATTGTTTGTTTTCATTGTTCCCCCACAGATGATTGGCTCCAAGATTATCAAGCCCGGTGGCGCTGAGCCCGATGATTTTGAGAAATCCATTGCCCAAGCTCTCGTTGAGCTCGAGGCCAACAGTGAACTCAAGCCCTACTTGAGAGACTTGCACATCACACGTGCCCGTGAAATTGAATTCGGCAACAAGAAGGTAAGTTGGTCAACATAATTTTTTTCGTCCTTTGATTTATTTACAATTATCATTGTTGTTGTTTTTTCGTTTATAGGCTGTCATCATCTATGTTCCCATTCCCCAACAAAAAGTTTTCCAAAAGATCCAAATCCTTTTGGTACGTGAATTGGAGAAGAAATTCTCTGGCAAGCACGTCGTTGTCGTTGGCGAACGTAAAATTTTGCCCAAGCCCACCCGTAAGGCTAGAAATCCATTGAAGCAAAAGCGTCCACGTTCCCGCACTTTGACCGCTGTCTACGATGCCATCTTGGAAGATTTGGTCTTCCCCGCTGAAATCGTTGGCAAGCGTATCCGCGTCAAGTTGGATGGCTCTCAATTGATTAAGGTGCATTTGGACAAGAATCAACAAACCACCATTGAACACAAAGTAAGTAGCATGGAATGAACATTAATGCTCGAAATGAAATTAAATAAGGAAGTGAATTTAAGTACATTTGAATTGAAGATGAATGAATGGTATTGAAGTGACACCGTTTTTAGCAACATATCGGGTATCCAAAATTCCGGAAAAATAATTGTGCCCATTGTTTGATATGGCTTGCAATGACGACTATCGGTCTATAGTAACAAATTTATTCGACACAGGGAACTTCCGTTTTTTAGCGATTTCGATTGTTTTTTTTTTTTTTTTTTGAAATTTGTGTATTGAAGTGGTGAAAATTTAAACATTTGTTGTTTTTAGTGTTGATGAATTCAGCATCATTTTGATGTCTTTGACCTCTATTATTCATTAGCAACAACAACAACGAAAAAAAGATTGGAATGCTTTCTTAATGATTAATCCGAAACATTCTACTTATGTGATATAGAGACACGATAGAATCTAAATATTTTCATTTACAACTTTACATACCCCTGTTTTTTGTTCTAAAGGACATCGAGATAAAATCACAAGAATTGGAGGCGTTCATTTAGAAGATTACCTGAAATAAGACAAAATACTGATTATTTAAAAAAAGTTTTAGGGGAAAGTACGACAATATTTTTTGTATTCTCAATACAGTTTGAGACTAGTAAATCTAAATGGCCAGATACAGCTGAAATGAAATGTTGATCCTCAAAATATTTTATTTAAGTGAAGGCGAGTAGGGTAGACTTCCTTCCAAGTAAATATTTTCAAATAATGAAATGTTAGCAAGGTTAACATTAAATACGAATCCATGTACAGCTTCGATAAACATCTATAATGACTGAATTTTCCCACATTGTTTTGCATTTTAAAATGCCTGGGCATTGTTTTGCATTTTAAAGTCCCTGGTTGGTTCCACAAGAAACCTCTCTATTATCCATACATTGTTCAATCAACTACCACAACAATAAAAACCACTGAGCCGGAGTAGTATATTCGAACGGTATCCGACCATATGATATATAACACAACTGAAGTCTGCGGATCTATATTCCGAGCCACCAAGGTAATAATTAGCGATATTTGCACTTTCGTGACCGGTAATAGGTAATCAGTCCACTTTCTAATCCTGGCATATTTTCCAAAACTTGTTTTCCCGATGCGAATATTTATGCCATATTATAAAATGTTGGTCACTTTATGTTTTGATTAATTTGATCCTCGGAATATTGACCGATCACCATCTAAACAGTTTTTCTAAGTATTTGGCCAGATCCCCATCAATTTGACGTTCTGCAAATAATAATGGGCTCTAGAGCGACTAGAAAATCGGCAATTTGAACCGCTTAATATTAACCGACCGTTCTCTTTGTGTAAAATTTCTAGAGCGACCAGAAAAACAGACAAAAATAAAGTTTTACTCCATTTCATCCCCTAAATATTAACGGATCATTATCAAAAACAAATAGGGGTGCTATTTGTCCAGAATTGGCCCTATATACAAAACTTCGTGACGATTTGGTCCATAACTACGGCCTGTATCGTGTTTACAAAGTAAAATGGACAGACGGACACGTTTAGATCGATTCAGCTAGTCAATATATGGTGATCGGTATGCTCAATGGTGGGTCTAGAACCAATATTTCGGGAAGTTATAAACTCATGGGGCTGTACAAAGCTATAATACCCTGACAACATAGTTGTGTATGGTACAACAACTCCGATAAGATCTTGTATCTTGGGTATTTTACGCTTTCAAAATGTCCCCTTTAAGTAAAGGCATAGTTCATCATTTATCCCGAATATTGTTTTTATCCCGAATATGGTTTTCATATTGGGCTCGAATTGATGGCATGAAGCATAACATCTGCCTGGCATTATTCAGCAAACTCAATCTAAAAAGGTCGCCGCCTTTTTGAACCTGGAACCCTATTGGGCATATGGAGTATAACAGCTTTTTATGCCCTCAAATTTATGCCTAATGTGGGCTATAAACTTTCCAACGACAAAAATTTACCTCGTTCAAATTTGATTTGAAATTTCAAGTTCCTTTGGATCAAATCCATTTCAGATAAATTGGCTAATGATCTCGATGGGCGATTTTATTAATTTTCCCTTTGCACATCGTAATATTTTTACTAAACCTAAATTAAGTGCGAATGCTGGGATCCATGAGATCATTTTTTCTAGTACAAAATGTGAATATATTCAAAATTTTGTAAATCCAAAATCAAGCGAATGTAGTGTCCGTAGTGGTGTTCCCAAAATTTTGTCCACCACTATTGTAGGCAGTGATTCCGCGGACCAAAATAGATATGCAAGACCGGTATAAATAAATAAAATAATTTTGCAGAAAATTAGTTTAAGTTTTCAATTGTCTCACGCCTTACAAGGCACAAAGGAATTTCTACAGATTCTCAATCAGTGTGTGAAATAGATATTCATCTGAATTTTTTACACAACATGAAATCTGATATAGCGAACAATTCTGCATCATTAACTTAAAAATCAAATTTTTTGATTTATTCCGGTCTTGCAGCAAATGATATGCCATAGGCTGTGGTTTAAGTCAATTTTTCTTATATTGAGATAATTAAATATTTGTGATTCATTTGATTCAAAAATATTGTTACGTGGTATTCATGTTGTTTGTTTGTGCTCTTAAAAATGATAGAATACATAACGTAATACCTTTTGTAAACTTTACTAGAAAACCAAGATATGTACCAGAACATAAAATGGACTTAAACTGCTTTCGAAATTAACGACTCATATATCTGTCGTGAACACTGACTGATACATATTTACTTGCTTCCAATAACCATAAAAAATCTAAAAAATAATCTTCAATACCATCCATTATCTTCAATGCAAACCCTTATTTTTAGTAATTATTTCATATATAAAAATATTAATTTATTTTATTGAAAATAAATCTATAAATAATGTCCTTGTGTTATTTGCTGATTGTCATAAAACCAAGATCAGTGATTGTCAAAAAGGACAAATAGTAAATTTAACCAATGACTCGTTATTGTTTGAAATGGTCCAATACAAAGACCTTTAAACATCTCCATACATTGGTGACATTTTCCTCCTCTTTAATTAATAATGGTAAAACAACAACAACGAAAAAGGAATAAGAAACAATTTCAAAACTTTTCGTCCTTGTGTTAATTGCTGAATTATGACCACCAGTCACAGTGATCGTCAAAAAGGACACACATTAAAAACCAACAAATATCATTCCTTTTTACAAAAATTTTGTGATTAAAATAACTATTACAAAAATCGTAAGGTATTTGTATAAAAACAATTCAAATTTTGGTTTCTTATTCCTTCAAGTTTATAGCGTTCTTGTGTTATTTATTGATTGCTTCATCAAATCAATAATTGTCAAAAAGAACGCAAATTAATTTTGGGACAACAACTCGTTATTGTTTATACGAATTATAAAAGTATCAACATATTCCATTTGTTGTCTACAATAGCTTAAGACATTTTCGGTATCCAAATCCAAGCAGGCCGTCTATTTGCCTCTCATACGTAATGTTTTCGGCGTTATGAGACTTCCTACAAAACGGCAGATTAAATGAAATTTTTAAATCAGCTAATATTTTCTTTGATTTGCAACAAAGAAAATTTTAATTTTTAAATTTTACAAATCAACGAACTATTTTTGTTTTTATTTTATTTCTAATACCGTTTATTTGCCTCCCGTATGGTGATCTATTTGAAGCTCTATGGGACTTCCTACAAAACGGCAGATTAAACGAATTTTTAAAATTTCCAAATATTTTTATTGTCAAATCAACAATATTGATTTTAATTTTAGAAATTTACAATTGTTCTTATTAGAATTAGAATTACATAACAAGTTTTTAAAATTAGAATTAATTAATTTATATCAGTTTCATTTGAATTCGTAACTAATTTTGTTCCTACTCCTTTTTTCTTCCAGGTTGACACCTTCACCTCGGTCTACAAGAAACTTACCGGCCGTGATGTCACCTTCGAATTCCCCGACAACTATTTGAACATGTAAATTGTCAATAAATTATTTTTTTATAGTCCAAACAAAATACCTGTTGTTAACACGTGTGTCACTTGAAACCAACAAAGAAAATGGGGCTAGACTACAGAAGGAAGCTAATGTTTTGTGAAGAATTCTGAAATTCAGAAGCTTTTTCACAAACTGAAAGAGACCACAAAAAATAAAGAAAAAAACATTTTTACAAAAACAATTGTAAAACAAAAAAATGCAAATTGGTTTTATTGGAAATTTTCTAAAAAATTCATATCTTAATTAGGTTGAGAAAAAAAGAAATCAATTTTTTGGTGTAAGTGGTATAAAACAGTTATGATGGTCGATTTTTAGTTCCTGGGCGATATTACGATATTTTAAACGCCCAGCCTACCTGTGCGAAGTGCATCTTGAACATCAAAAATACCTGAACAGAAACCAAAATTGAACATAAATATACAGTATCGGAACCATAAACAACAGTCACAATTTTAGCCGTTTGGCTTGCATTTTCCGCCTTTGTTAAAGAAAAACTGTAAAATGCACCGAATTGTCTCTTTGTTCACTTCCATTTTTAACACCCTGTAACACAACTGAATGAACCAAACACAAAACAGCAAAATAATTGTTTTACTGCGAAATGTCACCCTTCCAACGAGCATAAATCTAAAATTTTTTGGTCGATACTTGACGAGAAATTTATCAGTATCAGTACAGCCATCTGTCAAAAAATAATGGTTTTTCCCCAACCTAATATATAAAAGAGCTTGGTGATAAGTGAGTGACCGAAAGATCCTCGCCCAGACGAAAAGTTTGAAGCTAGATAGATAAGGCTCGGTTTTTGGAAATTCTAACTAGAAGGCTACGAAACGTAACAAAATGTACTAAATATGATAGCCTTTGTATTAGGCTAACGATAAGAGCTAGAATTCTTTAATTTGAAGTGAGTCACGGATGGAAACTTAGAAAGTTGCAAAAAAGGGTTTTCTGAAATTCGACCTATATGTGTACGAAAAGTATTCAACTTTAGTAAATTTAGTTCTATGTCTAGGATCTTGAAATTATACAGGTTGGGAGTGGTTTCGATGTATGGAAACGGTTTTAGAAATTCGTACTTATTTGTATGAAAAGTACTAAATGTTACTAAATTTTGTACTATTTGAATTTAATTGAGCGTTTAGAGATGAAATCCTTAAAATAGGAATTCCGATTACCACTGGAGTACAGGATTGTGGTAAAAAATCGTACTTATGTGTACGAAAGGTACTAGGTTAGGTTAGGTTTGGGATGTACGGCTGTTCTAACAACCGTCCACTCGGAGACTATGTCCATTGTGATCATCCATTATGTATAGGTGTACCTATAAAGAGAGAGAAGAAAAGATAGTGGAAGAGTAGAGAGAGAGGTAGTCAGAATAGGAGGGAGCGGAAGCGGAAGAGACATTATTTTAGCCAAGTCAATTTTTTGACAAAGCCTAGAATTAGGTTAGGGTCTATTTTGGAGAAGAAGACTAGATTATCAATTTCATAACATCCAAACTGTTTATGTCTTCTGCTGATCAGCGATGGACATTTGCAAAGGATGTGCTCAATTGTTTCCACTTCTTCTTCATCCTCACATAGACGACAGTAATCCTCTCCACTGGAGTCCCACTTAGAAGTGAGAGATCTAACTTTGCAGTGACCAGTAATGATCCCCACAACGATCTTAATCTCCCTCTTGTTGTGATCCAGCAGCGAAGACGTTCTTTTATGAGAGAATTCTGGCCAGATAGATTTAGAGATTCTGCATGCAGGTTCCCTTAGCCATCTGTTGCCGACTACCTCGCAATAGAACGCACGGATTCTGCCAATGAAATAGCTAATAGGGGGTTTCACAGATCTCTCAATCAGAAGACTGGACGACTGTGACCCCCCTCGAGCAAGCTCGTCGGCTATCTCATTCCCTTCAATATCGTTATGTCCTGGAACCCAGCATAACCCAACTATTTGACGTATATCATTCAGAGCGGTCTTACAATCATGAACTGCTTTCGAGTTTATAGTATGCGACTTCACCGCTTTCAGGGCCTGACTATCTACGTAAATAGTCACCGGTCCTGTAAAGTCTGTATTAAGTGCTTTTACTATCTCGGCCGCTTTCGTGATTGCAAGAATCTCTGCTTGAAAAACGCTACAATCATTGTTGAGTTTATATGAGTTTCGTATACCTAATTCCCTGCAGTAGACGCCTGCGCCAGTGCCTTCTTCCATCTTGGACCCGTCTGTGAAGATTGACAGACCTGGCAGAGGTAGGGAGCCACTAGTCCAGGATTCCCTGTTAGGAAATTCGACTTTAATGTCATTAAAATCCCTGTGGGGGGGAATATAGTCACTGATATGACTATCCCCCCTAAAAAGGTCATAACTTGGCGTTATGTTTAGAATGCTGGCATGACCATAGTTCCGCGATTTCAAGGCATCTGTTTCCCGGAGTCTCAGGGCACACCTAGCAGCCTGGAATTTGATCAGAATGTCCAATGGTTGGAGATTCAAGATTGCGTTCAAGGCTGCTTGTGGTGTGCTTCTTAATGCTCCAGTGATCAGAATTGAAGCCGATCGCTGTACTAAGCTCAGTCTTGTCAGCAGCTTCTTTTTATTCACCCCCTGCCACCAGACAAGACATCCATAGGTAAGTATGGGTAAGACAATCGTCGTATACAGCCAGTGTATAATTCCGGGTCTCAATCCCCAACTCTTGCCTATGGAGTTCTTGCATGAATAGAGTGCCATCAATCCCTTCTTAGAGCGTTCCTCGACATTCCTATTCCACAGTAACTTGCGGTCTAGGACAGTGCCAAGATATTTAGCTTCATCAGAGAGAGTTAATGTCACTCCACCAAGTGATGGCAGACGGAAACTAGGAACTTTGTATTTCCTAGTGAAGAGTACCAGTTCGGTTTTTGTGGGGTTTACACCAAGACCTTTGGTGCAAGCCCAATTTGACAGGGTTGAAAGAGCACCCTCCAGGATGTCTGATATTGTCGTAATAAACTTACCCCCAACCAACAAGACTACATCATCGGCATAGGCTACAACCTTTATCCTGAGATGATTGAATTTCATAAGTATCTCATTTATCACCAGAAGCCACAAAAGGGGGGAAAGAACTCCACCCTGAGGTGTGCCTCTGTTGACAGATTTCCTCACGGAACTCTCTCCTAGGGATGAGTTGATAATTCTGCTTTCCAGCATTCTATCAATCCATTCCGTAAGGAGTGAGGGGATACCTATGTCTACGAGAGCAGAATGGATTGCCTCTAGCTTCACATTGTTGAAAGCTCCTTCGATGTCGAGGAATGCTGCCAACGTGTAGCCAGAGGACTCCATATTCTTCTCGATGTATCCAACCACCTCATGCAGAGCTGTATCCACTGATCTGCCCTTGATATAGGCATGTTGGGATTTACTAAGTTTATTACGGTCAATGGTATCTCTAATTTCTGAGTCTAGTAACCTTTCTAAAGTTTTTAGTAGAAAGGAAGAAAGACTAATCGGTCTATAGTCTTTAGGTACCGTATGACTCGGCTTCCCGGCTTTCGGGATGAAGGTCACGGTAACCTCTTTCCATAGACTGGGTATGTACGACAAAAGTAAACAAGCCCTAAAAATGTCCTGCAGATATGATATTATCCGTTCATCTGCGTGTTGCAGCATGGCCGGTGTTATACCATCTGGACCAGGAGATTTGTAGGGTTGAAAACTATTTATCGCCCATATCAGTTTTGGGTATCTTATAGTGTCTTCTATCATCTTCTCCTCTTCCCTCGTCCGAACTGTAGGCTGATGCACACACTGCGCATCTTCCCTATAGTCCTTACAACCAGGAAAGTGGGTTGATGATAGAAGATCAAGAGTCTCACTGCCAGAGTTTGTCCACGTTCCATCACTTCGCTTAATACTTCCTATGGATTTGGATCCTTAGAGAGTACTCTGCGGAATCTGGCCGCTTCGTTGACTCCTTCGATCGACTCGCTATAGCAGACCCAAGACTCACGTTTAGCTTTCTTGATTTCGCCCTTGTACCTATTGAATTGTCTTTTATAGACATCCCAATCTGTACTGAGCTTTGTCTTACTAGCTCTATTATAAGCTTTCCTTGCAGCCTTCCGCAAGGTTGCAGGGTCCTGTGACCACCATACCGGTTGAGATTTCTTCCCAGGGTATGTCAGGGGACAAGATGCCTCATAGCTCTTCAGAAGAGTGGTCGTGACATTTTTCACAGCTAATTCAACATCCTCAACCGTTTTGAGATCATTACGATCCCGAAAAGAGGCTGCTGTTTTAGCTTTGAATTTGTCCCAGTTCGTCTTCCGAGGATTCCTATAAGGTTTCTGTTTAACTCTAGAGGTAGGAATCTGGAAGGATATGAGTCTATGATCCGAAAAGGAACATTTCTCAGACACCTCCCAGTTTACGACCCCAGAG